TAGTGTCATAATAGTAGCCCCATTGAATGAGCTCTTAAATACGCCTAGTCCTACACCAAGCATTTTTCGTTGTTGGTCCAATTAATTCTCACAACAGCATTACATAAGTAGTAGTATTATTGTCATTTTACAACCAAGGAAACACCCAAAAAGATTAAATGAACTGCTAAGGTCAGCCAGGAAGTAATTTAGAACTTGAACTCAGGTTGATGCTTTTAACATGTGCTTTCTGCCTTCACAAAGAGAACTTCTGCAAAGTTTCTGGTGTTAGCAACATCATGAAAATAACATGTAGTTCCTCCATCCCCACCAAGGGACTTTGTGGACTTAGATACATAAATTATTTCTATTTAAAACCAATCTTAAGCCAAGTACTGTGGCTCATGCCTGTAATTCCAGCACTTTGGGAGGCCTAGGCAGCTGGATCACTTGAGCTCAGGAGTTGAAGACTAGCCTAGCCAACAAGGTGAAACCCTGTCTCTACAAAAAATACAAAAATTAGCCGGGCATGGTGGCATGGCCTGTAATCCCAGCTACTTAGGAGACTGAAGAAGAAGAATCGCTGGAATCCGGAAAGTGGAGTTTGCAGGGATTCTAGATCATGCCACTGCATTCTAGCCTGGGCGACACAACGAGACTCTGTCTCAAATAAATAAATAAAACCAGTTTAGGGCCGGGCACGGTGGCTCACACCTGTAATCCCAGCACTTTGGGAGGCTGAAGCAGGCGGATCACCTGAGGTTGGGAGTTTGAGACCAGCCTGGCAAACATGGTGAAACTCCATCTCTACTAAAAATACAAAATTAACTGAGTGTGGTGGCACTTGACTGTAATCCCAGCTACTTAGGAGGCTGAGGCAGGAGAATCACTTGAATCTGGGAGATGGAGGTTGCAGTGAACTGAGATCGCGCCATTGCACTCCAGCCTGATTGACAGAGCAAGACTCCATCGCAAAACAAACAAAAAACAAAAAAAAAAACCACATACAAAAATAACAGTCTAGGCCAGGCACGGTGGCTCACGCCTGTAATTCCAGCAAGCTGGGAGGCCAAGGCAGGTGGATCACGAGGTCAGGAGTTTGAGACTAGCCTGGCCAACATGGCAAAACCCCGTCTCTACTAAAAATAAAAAATTTAGCCAGGCGTGGTGGTGAGTACTTGTAATCCCAGCTACTCAGGAGGTTGAGGCAGGAGAATCACTTGAACCCAGGAGATGGAGGTTGCAGTGAGCCAAGATTGTGCCATTGCACTCTGGCCTGGGCGACAAGAGCAAGACTCTGTCTTAAAAAGTAAATAAATAGGCCGGGCGCGTAGCTCACACCTGTAATCCCAACACTTTGGGAGGCCGAGGCAGGTGTATGACAAGGTCAGGAGTTGGAGACCAGCCTGGTCAATATGGTAAAACCCCGTCTCTACTAAAAAAAAAATACAAAAATTAGCCGAATGTGGTGGTGCACACCCGTAGTCCCAGCTACTCGGGAGGCTGAGGCAGAAGAATCACTTGAACCTGGGAGGCAGAAGTTACAGTGAACCAAGATCACGCCACTGCACTCTAGCTTGGGCGAGACAGCAAGACACCTTCTCAAAAAGAAGAAAAAAATATATATATATATATAATATATATAAAACTCCCCTCAAAAATATATATAATATATATTTTATATATATACACACACACATATATATATATATATATATATTTTTTTTTTTTTTTTTTTGAGCAGAGTTTTGTTCTTGTTGCCCAGGCTGGAGTGCAATGGCATGACCTCAGCTCACTGCAACCTCTGCCTCCCTGGTTCAAGCAATTCTTCTACTTCAGCCTCCTGAGTAACTGGGATTACAGTCATGTGCCACCACGGCCAACTAATTTTTTGTATTTTTAGTAGAGATGGGGTTTCTCCATGTTGGTCAGGCTGGTCTCAAACTCCTGACCTCAGGTGATTCACCTGCCTCAGCCTCCCAACTTGCAGGGATTACAGGTGTGAGCCACAGTGCCTGGCCAAAAACCAGTCTTAACACTTTAGAATTCTGTCAGAGGCATGTGAACCAGAGCAACTCCATCTTGAATAGGGGCTGGGTAAAATGAGGCTGAGACCTATTGGGCTGCATTCCCATACAGCTAAGGCATTCTAAGTCACAGAATGAGATAGGAGGTTGGCACAAGATATAGGACATAAAGACTTTGCTGATAAAACAGGTTGCAGTAAAGAAGGCAGCTGAAACCCACCAAAACCAACATGGCCATGAGAGTGACCTCTGGTCATCCTCACTGCCACACTCCCACTAGCACCATGACAGTTTACAAACGCCATGGCTACAACAGGAAGTTACCCTATATGGTCTAAAAAGGGGAGGCACGAATAATCCAGCCCTCGTTTAGCATATCATCAAGAAATAACCATAAAAATGAGCAACCAGTAGCCCTTGAGGCTGCTCTGTCTATAGAGTAGACATTCTTTTATTCCTTTACTTTCCTAATAAAGTTACTTTCACTTTACTCTGTGGACTCACCCTGAATACTTCCTTGGGCAAGATCCAAGAACCCTCTCTTGGGGTCTGCATCAGGACCCCTTTCCTGTAACACCTTTCTGGCAACCACTGAAGGGACTATAACGCAGAAACCCGTAACCCAACGGCTAACTTTGGGTAAGCGTTGGGGTCTGGTAACAATCATATGTAACATCCGACCCCAGAAAATCATGAAAAGTGGTTAAAACACTAGAGCAGGCTGGGTGCAGTGGCTCACACCTGTAATCCCAGAATTTTGGGAGGCCGAGGTGGGCAGATCACTCGAGCCCGGTAGTTTGGACCAGCCTGGCTAACATGTTGAAACCTCATTTCTACTAAAAATACAAAAATTAACCATGTATGGTGGCGTGTGCCTGTAGTCCCAGCTACTTGGGAGGCTGAGGCAGGAGAATGGCTTGAGCCTGGGAGGTGGAGGTTGTAGTGAGCAAGAGCATGCCCCTGCACTCCAGCCTGGGCAACAGGAGTGAAACCCTGTCTCAGAAAAAAACAACACCATCAACACCACTAGAGCAATCGGATTTAAAACATACACTGCTTAGCCGGGAGCGGTGGTTCCTGCCTGTAATCCCAGCACTTTGGGAGGCCGAGTTGGGCAGATCACCCAAGGTCAGGAGTTCGAGACCAGCCTGACTAGCATGGAGAAACCCCGTCTCTACTAAAAATACAAAATTAGCTGGGTGTGGTGGTGCATGCGTGTAATCCCAGCTACTCTAGAGGCTGAGACAGGAGAATCGCTTGAACCAGGGAGGCAGAGGTTGCAGTGAGTCAAGATCACGCCATTGCACTCTAGCCTGGGCAACAAGAGCAAAACTCCACCTCAAAAAAAAACAAAAAAACAAAAAAAAAAACACCCCATTTCCCAGTGTTTTGTTTTTTCCCCGCTATTATGATGAATCATTTCAGCTACTGACTTTTTGTTTTAGTTTGTCAGTTTGATTGGATTTTGCCCCATGGGGAAGGAAAGGAGAGCAGGATGAGGGGCACAGCCGGGGCCTGGAAACCTGGCACTCACCTGCAGCCTGGGGCAGGTAACGTGTGCAGCTGCCTCTGAGGTGGTGACTCCCCTCAGATGTGGGGGCAGGAGAGAATCGGACAATCAGAGGGAAGATTGGTCTAACTGCAGCAGATTGGGTAGATAAGATAAGTGAGGCCTTGAAATGATCACATGCAATGGAAAAGTTCTTTCAAAAAGAAAGAATTTTTTTTTTTTTTTTTGAGTAGCATTCATGGTTCTGAGGTTTGGTTCCATGTGTCCTTCCCTTGTACTGCCTTCCAAGGTCCTGATTCACACACAGTCCCTATTGGTTCCAATGGCCCAGGACCCCAGTCCCTGCCACCAGCATGATGGATCTTGTGAGTAGTCCTAGTTCCTACTCAGACCTGATCCAAAGGAGAAGTGGGCAGAGACCCAGGTTCCAGCTCCAGCACCAGCTGCCTCTGAGCTATTTCTGCTTCCTACCAGGTGAAGCTCCTAGGAGGGAAGGGGTCCAGGACCTGGATGATGAAGCTCTGTGGAAAGCCAGCCACGGCCAGTCTGCAGCCCCTGGGGACTCTGTGAGAGTCTGGATGCAGACAAGCCAGGGGCTGTCACCTCAGGAAAGCTGAGGACCTCAATGTCCACTGGGAAGAGATGGGAGGGAGGCATGGTTCTAGGAGGGTACTGCTGGTCTGCCCTTCCATTCATCTGGGAATTCATTTCACCGTGGAAAGTGCAATCAGAGAAGTTCTTCTTCACATCCTCACAACAGTCTTAGTGGCCCCTTCTCTTTGGACTCTCCCAAGATGCAAAGAGTGTTTCTGGAGATTAGTAGGCTCAAGAAGGGAGGGGAGTTAGCAACAAATTTTTAATGATCTTCAAAGTTTGGAACACTTTGGGTAGCTCTTAGGGATGAACTTGTTCAGCTTCTGAGACAGATGTGTGACAAGTAAGACTGCAACTGATCTTCAGAAGAGCCCTGAGAACAGGAGATCACCAGCAGCCAGGAGCTGTGAAAGGTCACCTTTGGGGAGCAGGGGTCCTGCTAACCCAGCATAACCTCTATTCTTAAGGTAGCGCCCAGAGAAGAGGTTCCCAAAACATGAAACAGACCAGCTCCATCAAAATCACCTGAAAGCTCCATCAAATTCACCTGCAAAGCATTGACATCCAAAGCCTGCCCCCTCTGCACCCTCCACCCACTGAATCAGAAGAGGGTCCCGGAGATCTGCATTTGACTCTAAAAGGCAACCTCCAGTGCTCCTTAACTTGCTTAGAAAACACTGTAAAACTGAAGACTTGTAAAACTCTAAGTGTCTCAGAAACCCAGGGTGAAGAATCACAAGTTCTCTACTACCCTGCCCCATTTTTAATCACACTCATCACAGACCACAGAGCACCTGGCAAACCCAGGGAACGGTGGGTTAAAGATATGTTTTCTTCTAGCAGATTAAGAGCTGAGCAGCGTTTCCTGTGCCCTGTGCTTCATTAGCACATTGGTGGTGTCGTTTCCGGTGACTGACTCTCTGTTTCCATTCTGGCAAAGTGGTTTGCTCTTTTCACTCTGCTTTGGGTGTTGAAGGAAGATGAGCTTCTCACGGAGCCTCTCCTGAGCCTCTTGGCAGTTTCCCCCTCTGTGCCCCTCACGTTTCCACCAGAAGGCAGAGGCCATAGATTCTCCCTGAGCCACCTCACTTGGAAGCACCACGTCCGGATGAGATTGCACCTCCTGCAGCGGGCATTAGCCACGTCCAGGTAGAACCAAACCTGTTGCTTTTGTATGTTGGGTCAACTTGGCCTGACATTTCAGAGGTAGACACAAGATAGGCAGTTTGTTGTGGGGGTGGGGAGAAGTGGCAGACATGCTGGCTAACTGATTATGATTAAGAGAAACTTAGAAGCTGAAACCAGAGAGCATCTCAAAGGTTCCTGATACAATGGATGGTGTCACTCCAACCCTTTCGACAATCAGAGGGAGGACCTTGGAGTCCAGCACTCTGCATGTGACTCCCCGCAGCCTGGACAGGTGAGTGACTCAGGGTGGTGAGCTCCACCCTGCCCTGATTTAGGCAGAAGGTCCTAGTCCACACTTAGGAGCTTCTTACACAGCAGTGCTGTCTCCTCTCAATACCCAGGCTCGGGTCTACTAAGACCACCAAACTCTAGGCTTGGAGGCATTTGCTCAGGGGTGCTAGGGGGAAAGGAAGGTATTGAGGAAAGAAAGAAGATATTTGGTAGAGGAAAAACTGTGGTAACACTGGTCCTTAAAGCTAGTTGCTTAGACTGGTTGGATTTCTCACCTCTCAGAGGCCCTGAACCCTATTGTCAGTCTTTCCCAGGTGTCACCATGACAGAAATGAAAGGCTGAGTTTTCCAAGGATGTGTGTTGAGATCCAAAAACTTGTCATGAATAAAATGTAGTGATAAATATAATAAAGATATGTCTTTAGGATGTAAAATCTTAGAGGACTAATCGTGGGTATAAATTACTGCTACTACTTTCAATCTCATACAAACAAAATTAAAAATCCACCCACAGTTGAAACTTTAAAAACATTGGTAGCTGACCAGGTGCGGTGGCTCACTCCTGTAACCCCAGCGCTTTGGGAGGCCGGGGGCAGCTGGGGCGGATCACCTGAGGTCAGGAGTTCAAGACCAGCCTGGCCAACATGGTGAAACCTCGTCCCTACTAAAAATACAAAAATTAGCCAGGGGTGCTAGCGCGCTCCTATAGTCCCAGCTACTCGGGAAGCTGATGCAGGAGAATTGCTTGAACCCGGGAAAGAGGTAGCAGTGAGCCGACATCATGCCATTGCACTCCAGCCTGGGCAACAAAAGCGAAACTCTGTCTCAAAAAATAAAATAAAATTGCAGTTGTCTGGGAAAATAAATGTTATTATCATGGCAAACACATGTCACTTGCAGGTAGACATGAGTATCGATGAGCAATGAATTCACAAAAATCAGAAGCCTGAAGCATCCCTCCAAAACTATTTCTTCATTTATTTTTATTTATTTCTAATTGGCAAATCAAAATTGTATATATTTATCATGATAGCCTGTTGTTTTGAAATATGTATACATTGTACAATAGCTACATTAAACTAATTAAGATACACATTACTTCACAATTTTCTTTTGTGGTGAGAATACTTAAAATTTCTCAGCAATTTTCAAGAATATGACACATTTTTATTAACTATAGTCATCAACACTTTTTTTGTTTTGTTTTGTTTTGTTTTGTTTTGAGACGGAGTCTCGCTCTGTCGCCCAGGCTGGAGTGCAGTGGCGCGATCTCGGCTCACTGCAAGCTCCGCCTCCCGGGTTCACGCCATTCTCCTGCCTCAGCCTCCCGAGTAGCTGGGACTACAGGCGCCCACAACCGCGCCCGGCTAATTTTTTGTATTTTTAGTAGAGACGGGGTTTCACCGTGGTCTCGATCTCCTGACCTTGTGATCCGCCTGCCTCGGCCTCCCAAAGTGCTGGGATTACAGGCGTGAGCCACCGCGCCCGGCTGTTTTGTTTTGTTTTTTGATTTTTTTTTTTTTTTTTAGACGGAGTCTCGCTCTGTCGCCCAGGCTGGAGTGCAGTGGTGTGATCTCTGCTCACTGCAACCTCTGCCTCCCAGGTTCAAGCTATTCTCCTGCCTCAGACTCCCCAGTAGCTGGGATTACAGGCATGCACCACCACCCCCAGCTAACTTTTTTGTATTTTTGGTAGAGACAGGGTTTCTCCATGTTGGTCAGGCTGGTCTTGAACTCCCTACCTCAGGTAATCCACCCATCTTGGCCTCCCAAAGTGCTGGGATTACAGGCATGAGCCACCGCGTCTGGTCCATCAATACATTTTTATTGACTATAGGCATCATGTTATACAACAGATCCCTTTAATTTATTCTTTCTCTCTAACTGATATTTTGTATCCTTTGACCAACCTCTCTGCAACCCCTCCCTGATAACCACCATTCTACTCTCCACCTTTTTTTTTTTGAGACAAAGTTTCACTCTTGTTGCCCAGGCTAGAGTGCAATGGCACAGTCTTGGCTCACTGCAACCTCCACCTCCCAGGTTCAAGCGATTCTCCTGCCTCAGCCTCCCCAGTAGCTGGGCTTACAGGCATGAGTCACCACACCTGGCTAATTTTGTATTTTCAGTAGAGTCGGGGTTTCTCCATGTTGGTCAGGCTGGTCTCGAACTCCGACCTCAGGTGATCTGCCTGCCTTGGCCTCCCAAAGTGCTGGGATTACAGGTGTGAGCCACTGTGCCCGGCCTCTACTCTCCACTTCTATGAGTTTAGCTTTCCACTCCACATGAGTGAGATCACCTGGTTTTGTCTTTTTGTTCCCTGGTTTATTTCATTTAACATAATGACCTCTAGGTTCACTCATGTGGTCAAAAATGACAGGATTCCCTTCTTTCTTTTTTTTTTTTTTTTTTTTTGAGACGGAGTCTTGCTCTGTCGCCCAGGCTGGAGTGCAGTGGCCGGATCTCAGCTCACTGCAAGCTCCGCCTCCCGGGTTCACGCCATTCTCCTGCCTCAGCCTCCCGAGTAGCTGGGACTACAGGCGCCCGCCATCTCGCCCGGCTAGTTTTTTTTGTATTTTTTAGTAGAGATGGGGTTTCACCGTGTTAGCCAGGATGGTCTCGATCTCCTGACCTCGTGATCCACCCGTCTCGGCCTCCCAAAGTGCTGGGATTACAGGCTTGAGCCACCGCGCCTGGCCTAGGATTCCCTTCTTTCTTAAAGGCTGACTAGTATTCCATTGAGTATATATACCACATTTTTTCATCCATTCATCCATTGATGGACACTTAGGTTAATTCCATATTTTGACTATTGTGAATAATGCTGCAATGAACATGGGAGTGTAGACATGTCTTTCAAATATGATTTCATTTCCTTCAGATATATACCCAGTGGTGAGATTATTGGATTATATGGCTCGTATGGTAGTTCTTTTCTTTTTTTGAGAGAAAGTCTCACTCTGTCGCCCAGGCTGGAGTGCAATGGCACAATCTCGGCTCACTGCACCTCCGCCTCCCGGGTTCAAGAGATTCTCCTGTCTCAGCGTCCTGAGTAGCTGGGAAAACATGCGTGTGCTACCACGCCCAGCTAATTTTTTTCTGTATTTTCAGTAGAGACAGGGTTTTACCATGTCGGCCAGGCTGGTCTCAAACTCCTGACCTCAGGTGATCTGCCTGCCTCGGCCTCCCAAAGTGCTGGGATTACAGATGTGAGCCACCACGCCCTGCCTTGGTAGTTCTATTTTTAATTTTTGAAGAACCTCCATAGTGTTTTCCATAACGGCTGTACTACACTTAAAACTATTTCTATGTTAGTTCATTTATTTATTAATTCAGTCATTCATTCATTTAACAAATATTCATCAGGGCCCTACAAAGTACCAAGCACTATTTAAGGCACTAGGTGAACAGGATAAACAAGTCCATAACTACTGGAAGCTTATAGTCAAAGGGGAGAGTCAAATAAAGAACAGAGCTGAATGTGGTGGCTCATGCCTATAATCCAAGCACTTTGGTAGGCCAAGGCAGGAGGATCAGTTGAGCCCAGGAGTTCAAAACCCAGCCTGGGCAACACATGGAGACCCTGTCTCAATGTTGTTGTTGTTGTTGTTTGGTTTTTTTGGTTTTTTTTTAATAAAAAAATGATAAACAGGTAAGCATATGAATGTATAGTATCAATCAATCAGGCTGGGCGTGGTGGCTCATGCCTGTAATCCCAGCACTTTGGGAGGCCGAGGCAGGCAGATCACCTGAGGTCAGGAGTTCGAGACCAGCCTGACCAATATGATGAAACCCCATCTCTACTAAAAATACAAAAAGTAGCCAGGCGTGGTGATGCACACCTGTAGTCCCAGCTGCTCGGGAGGCTGAGGCAGAAGAATTGCTTGAACCCGGGAGGGGAAGGTTGCGGTGAGCCGAGATTGTGCCACTGCACTCCAGTCTGGGAAACAAAAGCGAAATTCCATCTCAAAAAAAAGATACATCAATCAGTCATCAGTGATATGAAGAAAAAATGGAGCACAGGGGACTGCAAGTAATAGGGTGTGGCCATGGAAGACCTGTCTGAGGAGATGACATTTGACATTTCAGAAGAGACCTGAATGAGAGGGACTCAGTCATGCAGACAGCTGGGAGAGGAGGGTTCCTGGGAGAGGGAGTGGCAGGTCTGACACAGAACTGTGCTTTGCGTGGGCAAGGGATCCTGGTAGTCAAAGTCAGAGGGAACGTGGTAGGAAATAAGGTCAGAGGTAGGCAGAGGCCAGATCATATTGTGCCATAAAGTCGTCACTGAGGAAGGACTATAGACTTTATTCTAAGTTACTCGAAGCCACGGAGAGTGACGAGCAGTGGAGGGATGTGATCTGACTTACTGTTTAGAATTATCACACTGGTTTTTGCGTGAAGATAGTATGTTGGGGCCAAGAGTTAAAGCAAGGAAACCAATCAGGAACGTTATTACAAAGATTCCTGTGAAACACAGTGGCTTAGACCCAAGTGGTGGCAACAGAGGAGCAAGAGGTGGTTGGGTTTGGGGTAAATGCCCAGGGTAATGCAGACAGAATCTATTGGTTGACTGGAAGTGGGGCATGAAAGAAAAAGAGCTCCAAGTCAAGAATGGCTCCAAGGTTTTTGACTAAGTCACTAGATGATGGGAAACACGTGGGGAGTAGCAGGTTTATGTGGGGAGATGTTTTGGTTTGAGATGTCTGTTAGGCAGCTAGTTAGAAATGCCCACTAGAAACTTGAATAGGCTGGGTGCGGTGGCTCACGCCTGTACCCAGCACTTTGGGAGCCTGAGGCGGGCAGATCATTTGATGTCAGGAGTTCAAGACCAGCCTGGCTAACATGGTGAAATCCTATCTCTACTAAAAATACAAAAAAAAAAAAAAAAAATTAGCCTGGCGTGGTGGCGGGTGTCTATAGTGCTGGCTACTCAGGAGACGGAGGCAGGAGAATCGCTTGAACCTGGGAGGCAGAGGTTGCAGTGAGCCGAGATCATGCCACTGCACTCCAGCCTGAGCAACAGAGCGAGACTCTGTCTGAAAGAAAGAAAGAAAGAAAGAAAGAAAGAAAGAAAGAAAGAAAGAAAGAAAGAAAGAAAGAAAGAAAGAAAGAAAGAAAGAAAGAAAGAAAGAAAGTTGTATAAATAACCCTAAAACTCAAGGGGACAAAAACCTTCCCTGTTAAATGCCCTGGTTTCTAATAATTGGGGGTAGCACGTCAGTTCCTGAGTCCTGCTGTAACTTCAGTTGGCAGCTTTCTATTGCATTAGGCATAGCCATCTGGAGTTGTAATCATCTGGACGCATTTCAACACCCAAGCAAAACTGAGCAGTGACGCCAGCCCTGCCAGGGAATTGCAAGGTAGCACAGAACGTGAATTGGTTAAACTCCACACAACAGCGTGTTGCTTGGAGACCAGCTCCACAAATTGGTGCCAGGGGTTATTCAAGTTCATGCAAGATGGACTCTGTCACAGAGCCACTCCCTAATTGTAAATTGGCTAATCCTCTCCTCCAAGCAAGCCAGGAAGGCCACGAGTAGGGGATGAGAAAGGGCAAGGCCAAATGACTGACTTTGCAGGTTTGGAGGACAGTGTGGCAGAGTGGAAAGAGCACAGTCTTTGGACGCAAACAGACCTAGATTCACATTTCTTCTCTGCTCCTTCCTACCTAGGTGATCTCTGACTTGTTACTTTACCTTTCTGAATCTAAAGCTCAGGTTACTTGGACACAAAGTGAGATAGGATTGTTGTAAAGATTAAATAAGTTTCACGGGCCGGGCGTGGTGGCTCATGCCTGTAATCCCAGCACTTTGGGAGGCCAAGGCAGGCGGATCACAAGGTCAAGCGACAGGGACCATCCTGGCCAGTGTGGTGAAACCCCATCTCTACTAAAAAGACAAAAATTAGCTGGGCGTCATGGCACGTGCCTGTAATCCCAGCTACTCTGGAGGCTGAGGCAGGAAAATCACTTGAACCCAGGAGGCGGAGGTTGCAGTGAGCTGAGATCATGCCACTGCACTCCAGCCTGAGCGACAGAGAAAGACTCCACCTAAAATAAAAAATAAAAGAAAGAAAGAAAGGAAGAAAGGAAGAAAGAAAGGATGGATGGAAGGAAGGAAGGAAGGAAGGAAGGAAGGAAGGAAGGAAGGAAGGAAGGAAGAAAAGAAGAAAGGAAGAAAGGAAGAAAGGAAGAAAGGAAGGAAGGAAGAAAGGAAGAAAGGAGGTTAAATTTCACATGCGAACCCCTGGCACCCGGTAGGCATTTGAAAAGAACAGTTCCCTTCTCCCCTGTCCAAGTTCCCTCTCTTCATAAAGTCAATATTCAGAGATAACCCTCTCTTCCACCGCACCCCACCTGGGCTTTCTTTCACTCGGCTCCAATTCCAAATCTTCAGGCTCTAACTCCTGAAGGAAATGTCTCCTCCAGCCTCCCCACCCTCCTACAGCTAGCACATGGCATTTGATTGTTTTTCTAGAAATAAAGACCAGATCAGCAACATCTTTTCTGGGTTCGCGGGACTCCTTGCCATCCTCCTGGTCGTTGCAGTTTTCTGCATCCTGTGGAACTGGAATAAACGGAAGAAGCGTGAGTCCCTTGTTTGTCCTGAGTTTAGACATAGTAGGATTAATAATCTAGCCTGGAATGTAAAGCCCAGCTTATTTACCAGGGATAAACTATTGGCCTGGAGAGTCCTCAGTTCTTACCTGATACACTGGTCATTGCCTCACTCAAGATCCTGAACTGTGGCTCCAAAGGCCCAGTGCTGATGGAGTTCCCCTGGGAAAGTCATTGCCCTGGTGCCCCTGTGTCCAGTTTCCTCTTTACTTTCTGTCCATCAAGTCCCCTATTCCTCTCACTCACATGAAAATTCAAATAGGAATCCCCTATTCCTCTCACTCAAATGAAAACTCAAATCTGAAAGTGTATTTTTGTGAGAACTGGCAAGGATGGGGAGCATTTCCAGGGGCCATCTCATTCCCATGAGTTCCTTCACTCTGTGTAGCTGACCCCTGCCTTGACTCCCATCTCTCTCATTGCCTTGCAGGGCAAGTTCCTTACCTCCGAGTTACCGTCATGCCCTTGCTGACTCTGCCACAAAACAGACAAAGAGCCAAAAATATTTATGACATCTTGCCTTGGCGACAGGAAGACCTGGGTAGGTTTTTCCTTCTAATCTATGGAGTCCAGATGTTCAAACTTCCACTCCCAGAATGTGCCTCTCACCCTCCAGAAGCAACTTTCTCTAAGTTCTCAAACCTGTTTGCCCTTCAGAGAGTATCAGGGAGAATGGGATAGACAGACCGTCAGCTGCAACTCCGGGGGAACCTGGAGGGCTCCAAAGAGGGAGCAGAGGGTCATCTGGGCTGGGAGTTTTGTTTTTTCTTAATATTAAGGCAACAGAAGAAAGCCAAGTGTGTCCAGGCATGGGGAGACACAAAGGAGGAGAACTCAGTGCCAGCATCACAGGCAGAGGAGGGGCGGGGAGGAGGTTCTCCCACAGGACCGTGTTTCTCAGCCTCCCAATCCCCGTGATAGCATCCGCCAATGCCACAGAAGCTGAGGGGCTTCCGGTTCTCAGAGTGTCATCCCCATAGCTCTGACCTCAGAACACAGGAGAACACAGGACCCAAGGCTGGAAATTCCAGACACCATACAAACCCAGTTCATCCATGATGCAGGGATTATTTGGGCTGAAGCACTCAGAGGACTGGCTATCTTCAGAATTTGTTCTCTGTCCTTTCAGGGAGACATGAGTCAAGGAGTATGCGCATTTTCAGTACTGAGAGCCTCCTCTCCAGAAATTCTGAGAGCCCTGAGCATGTGGTAAGAGTCATGCTTCTCGGGAGAATGACATGTCTCTGGCAGAAGAACTGAGGGGAAAGAGTTATAGGGCTTGGATCTGGTCTCACTGCAAACAAACAGCATGTCCTTTGGCGCTCGCCCTGCGGTCCTATTAATAAATTGGGAAGACTAGCCTCAGGACCTCCCTATACCCAAAAAGAAAAATTAAGGACAGAGGCAAGTGCTTGGAATTTTAAAAAGGGCACCAGGGTACAGATATTCAAGTGCACAATGTCAGAACTGAAATTGATTGGTATGTATAGATGTAGTTTTTTTTTTTTTTTTTAGATGGAGTCTTGCTCTCCCACCCAGGCTGGAGTGCAGTGGTGTGATCTTGGCTCACTGCAACTTCTGCTTCCCAGGTTCAAGCGGTTCTCCTGCCTCAGCCTCCCAAGTAGCTGGGATTATAGGCATGTGCCACCACGTCCAGCTGATTTCTGTATTTTTAGTAGAGATAGGTTTTCACTATGTTGGCCAGGATGGTCTCGATCTCTTGACCTTGTGATCTGCCCACGTTGGCTTCCCAAAGTGCTGGGATTACAGGCATGAGTCACCGTGCCCAGCCATTTTTTTTTTTTCCCTCACTCCAACCTCTGCTTCCTGGGCTCAAGCGATCCTCCTACTCCAGTCCCCCAAGTAGCTGGGACCACAGGCACACACCACCACGCCTGGCCAGCTTTCGTATTTTGTGTAGAGATGGGGTTTCACCATATTGCCCAGGCTGGTCTCAAACACCTGAGCTCAAGCAATCTGCCCACCTTGGCCTCCCAAAGTGCTGAGATTACAGGTGTGAGCCACCATGCCCTGCCAATTGATTATTTTAACAAAGACATGACAACATGCTTATTCAAATGAATGTCGCTCCCTTCAAAGTAATCATCTCAGGAGGGTATGCAAATATTCCAACAATGCCATTGGTGCTCAAAACACACTTACGACCCTGCTTTGGATATTACTTCCAGGGCTTATGTCAATTATTTCAATTACCCTCAGGAGCAGAAATGTCTGTAAGTCATTCAGCACTGTAGCTGATGTAGAAAGTGTTTGATCAAATGAGGTTGTTACAGGACCAACAGGTTTGTGTGTCTGCTGCCTGGTAACACAACATACACTGTCTCTACTAAAAATACAAAAGAATTAGCCAGGCGGTGGTAGGAGGCACCTGTAATCCCAGCTACTCAGGAGGCTGAGGCCGGAGAATCGATTGAACATGGGAGGCAGAGATTGCAGTGAGCTGAGATCGCTCCACTGAACTCCAGCTTGGGCAACAAGAGCGAAACTCCCTCTCAAAAACAAAAATAAAAACAAACTTACGATGTAAATATTATGATAATCTTCATTTTATAAATTGGGAAATGAAAACACCGAGAGACTAGGTCAGGTGCTCATACTCACTTGGCACAAAGTGGTGAGGCTAGGATTTGTACCTTTAGTCTAAGCCTCACCTTTAGCCACTACGTTGCACTGCCTCTCAATGGGCTCTTTGGTTGATAATACTTTCGTCCCACCCGTTCCCCACCCCCCAAATTGATTCCCATACTGTGGCCAAAAACCAGTTGCAATTTATCATCACATTTGCACTGTTGCTCTTCTTAAACTCATCCCTCTTCCCTTATACCTACCTGGCATGTAGAGCCTTGCAGTTCGGGACCCTGATTTAGAGATTTTCTTCGAGGTGGAGAGCCAAGTGAACTATGCCAGTGGTATTTGCCAAGAAGAAAGGCTTTGTCCATATTTCTGCTTGCATCTGATTGCTGGCTTCCTTTTCTTCCTCATAGCCCTCCCAAGCAGGCAATGCCTTCCAGGAGCATAGAGCCCACGTCCATGCCGTGGAGTACGCAGTAGGTATCTATGATAATGCCATGGTCCCCCAGATGTGTGACAGCCTCACTCCCTCAGCACGCTGCATCAATGTCAGAGCTTCCAGAGACTGCACAAGCATTTCTTCAGAGGATTCACATGAGTATGTCAATGTCCCCACAGCAGAAGAGATTGCTGAAACTCTAGCTTCTACCAAAAGCCCTTCCAGAAATCTCTTTGTTCTTCCCAGTGCCCAGAAGCTGGAGTTTACTGAGGAAAGAGATGAGGGCTGTGCAGATGCTGGTGACTGCACCAGTTTGTATTCTCCAGAAACTGAGGACAGTGATTCACTCAGCAATGGAGAAGGTTCTTCTCAGACCTCAAATGACTATGTCAACATGACAGGGTTGGATCTCGGTGCCATCCAGGAGAGGCAGCTCTGGGTGACTTTTCAGTGCTGCAGAGACTATGAAAATGTTCCAGCAGCAGATCCCAGTGGAAGGCAGCAGCAGGCTGAGAAAGATGTGCCATCCTCAAACATAGGTCATGTTGAGGACAAGACAGATGATCCAGGGACCCACGTCCGATGTGTCAAAAGGACATCCCTTGCTTCAGGGGATTATGCAGACTTTCAGCCATTCACACAGAGTGAGAACAGTCAGATGAAACATAGAGAAGAGATATCAAATGAGGACTCCAATGACTATGAGAATGTGCTAACTGCCCAGTTAGGAGGCAGGGACTCTGAGCAGGGGCCTGGCACTCAGCTCCTTCCTGATGAATGAAGACCCAGATACCCAGCCGTAAAGCCACATCAAGTAGTCTATCTTATGGGATAGATTGGTGCAGACCCGTGATCACCTTAGTGCTTCAGTGGATTCACTGGTTAGATTAAAAAGAGGCTGAGATGAGCAGGGAACTAAGAGGCCACACAAAAGCAGAGGTTTGGGAATTCCAGAAGGGAATTCTTCTCAAGCAGTGTGTAGTTATCTCCTGCACCAGCCTAAGAACGTTTGCTGAAACTGCTTCCTAGAACTGTGAGGAAAGCAGGAAAGTCGTGCACAGTACTCTAAGATTATTACCTTCATTAATACCAACAGGCTGCAAAGCAGGAGTATAGATTATTGTATAATCCAGGTAGAGGTCAAAAGGAAGGAAGAAGTTGGAGTGGAGTGAGGTGGACAATTTCCATTTTAAAGAGTATAGGCAGGCCAGGTGCAGTGGCTCATGCCTGTAATCCCAGCACTTTGGTAGGCCGAGGAGGGCAGATCACTTGATGCCAGGAGTTCTAGACCAGCCTGGACAACATGGCCCTTCTTTACAAAAAATACAAAAATTAGCCGGGTGTGGTGGTGTGCCTCTGTAATCTCAGCTACTCAGGAGGCTGAAGCAGGAGAATCACTTGAGCTGGGGAGGTTGAGGTTGCAGCAAGCTGAGATTGTGCCACTGTACTCCAGCCTGGTGACAGAGCAAGAGTCGCTCTCAAAAAAAAAAGTGTGGGCGGCCGGGCGCGGTGGCTCAAGCCTGTAATCCCAGCACTTTGGGAGGCCGAGACGGGCGGATCACGAGGTCAGGAGATCGAGACCATCCTGGCTAATATGGTGAAACCCCGTCTCTACTAAAAATACAAAAAACTAGCCGGGCGAGGTGGTGGGCGCCTGTAGTCCCAGCTACTCGGGAGGCTGAGGCAGGAGAATGGCGTAAACCCGGGAGGCGGAGCTTGCAGTGAGCTGAGATCCAGCCACTGCACTCCAGCCTGGGCGACAAAGCGAGACTCCGTCTCAAAAAAAAAAAAAAAAAAGTGTGGGCAACCAAATGTAGGTGAGGATGCAGAAGAATAGGAACCCTCACTGGTCGCTGATGGGATTGCAAAGCATCAGGGCCACTTTGAAAAACTGTTAAGCCTTTTCTTATAAGCATAACTTATCATATGGCTCAGCCATTTCACTACTAGAAATTGACCGAAGTGAACTGAAAACTTATGTTCACACAAAAACTCACACATGACTGTTTATAGCAGCTTCATTCATAATTACCAAAAACTAGAAATAATCCACATATCCTTCAACGGGTGATTGGATAAACTGTTGATATCCATTCCTTGAGTTTATCCATACTCAACAGTAAAAAATGAACTCTTGGTTCACACAATAATATAGACGTATCTTAAATCCATTTTGCTAAGTGAAAGAAGCCAGGCCTAAAAGTCTACATGCTGTGCAATTCTATTTATATGACATTCTGGAAAAGCCAAAACTATAGGGATGAAGAACAGATCAGTTGTTGCCAGGTTTGGAAAAAGGAGGGAAGTTTGCTACAAATGGGCTGCAAAGGGAATTTTTAGGCTGATGGAGCTGTTCTGTATGGTACCGTGTGGTGGATACATGACTATATCCATTTGCAAACACAAGAACTATACACATGGCTGGGTGCGGTGGCTCACACCTGTAATCCCAGCACTCTGGGGGGCCGAGGCAGGTGGAACATTAGGTCAGGAGATCGAGACTGTCCTGGACAACATGGTGAAACCCTGTCTCTACTAAAAATACAAAAATTATCCTGGCATGGTGGTGTGCGCCTGTAGTCCCAGCTACTCAGGAGGCTGAGGCAGGAGAATCACTTGAACCTGGGAGGCGAGGTTGCAGTGAGCCGAGATCGCGTCACTGCACTCCAGCCTGGGCGATAGAGCAAGACTGTCTTTAAAAAAAAAAAAAAAAACTATACACTAGACAAAGGGGCTTTATATGCAAATTTTAAATTTTAAAAAATGAACAGACTGTCAAGGGAACCCAAGATGTCAAACTGTGGCAAAGGAATCTAATTGTATTATAAATGTATGATATCAACTAACTGAAAGGGATGGAGAAAAAAAGAACTGACAATTAAAGTTGGAAAACAATGTTTTGACTTGTAACTGTAGATAAGGACACAAAGAACTACATACAAAAACTGCACTCTGGTTGGTAAATTTGTATCTCACAGAGGCATGGCTTAGCAATTCTGTAACTACTTATATATATATATTTGGGTTAAATAAGTCAAACTATTGTAGATAAGGACAGGCAGGTTAGTGTAAGAATTGAATTGCAGGACACCCAACTGGTGTCCAGAAAGCTGGAAAATTGGTCGGCTGTTGGGGAAAAACCCCACCATTTGGTGTCAGAAGTGTTGTGAGTGAAAACAGACCATTACTCCACCAAGTGGCCAGCATTTAAATTCATGCCACACAGAGGGAACCATGACAGTCTGGTACTGATGACCAAGCAGGGTTAGCCAGGGCAGCAGCAAGGGCAGAGAAAGGACAACCCCATAGTCAAGTAAGGAGAAGTTTGTATCCTATGTGAGAATGAAGCTTAAATGGACTGAACAAAATCTTAAACGTTGGCATGAGAGAATTCTCATAACTAAGAGGGGATGAAAAGTTATGGGATCTAAATTAGAAGTTATGAAGACAGCTGGTCACCCATTAAGGGTGGGAGGGACAACGTATCAGTTGGGGGCAGGTCCTGGAATAAACTAAGCCAGCTCTTTTTTATTTTTTGAGACGGAGTTTTGGTCTTGTCACCCAGGCTGGAGTGCAATGGCATGATCTCGGCTCACTGCAACTTCCACCTCCCAACTTGAAGCAATTCTCCTGCCTCCGCCTCCCAAGTAGCTGAGATTACAGGCGCCCACCACCAGGCCTGGCTAATTTTGTGTTTTTAGTAGAGATGGGGTTTCACCATGTTGGTCAGGCTGGTCTCGATCTCCTGATCTCAGGTGATCCACTCGCTGTGGCCTCCCAAAGTACTGCAATTACAGGCGTGAGCCACCACGCTGGGCCCTAACGCAGCTCTTGCTTGTTTACACACCAACAAGCTGGATACCGCGATCAGCCAATCACACTTACATACTCTTCCAAATCAAGAATGATTAATGCACTGTAGATTGTCTCCTATTAGATAGGTAACTTTTCTGTTTATTTCTTGTTTTAAGAATTTTTTGCAAATGAATCAATGAAAAATTTTTTATTGAATGTTAATTTGTTTCTTTCAATTTATGGTTTTGTTTTCTCACATTGGTTGCCAGGGAATTTTGACTAATTGTCTTATCTCATACACTCGATAATGCTAAATATGAGGAAATCTTTTCAAGATTAGGATAGGATGTAAAAGTAGATATAAAGATAACCAAGGCCAGGCACAGTGGTCCACGCCTGTAATCCCAGCTCTGTGGGAGGCCACGGCAGGCAAATGGCTTGAGCCCAGGGGTTCAAGACCGGCCTGGGCAACATGGTAAAACCTCATCTCTACAAAAAAATACAAAAATTAGCTAGACATTGTGGTGCTTGCCTGTAGTTCCAGCTACTTGGGAGGCTGAGGTGGGAGGATCGCTTGAGCCCAAGAGGTCGAGGCTGCAGTGAGTCGTATTCTTGCCTCTGCATTCCAGCCTGGGCGATAGCAAGACTCTGCCTCAAACAAACAAAGATAACTAACCCATTTTGATTCCTTAATTAGTTAAATAAAGTGAACTAATTATTCAAACCCATATTATGTTGATTGTGTGTCTTCATTCGGGATACTGTTTAGTACAAAATACAGAGGTTTACTAAGTTCCCTCCTTCCCTCTAGAAACTCCTACCCTCTAATGGTGAACGGAAGATGAGGTCTTGCTGTCCATCTGGCATCTGTCCTCCTTCAGCACCCCCTTACTATGACAGGCTTTATCGTCAATTCTGGGTTTCCTGTGGGCTGAGGGCCTATACTGACTTGCAAATATTTCCAGAAACTCTCGGTCAATAACCCAGTGTCCTGCTCCCCTGAAGTTAGAGGGAAATGGAAGTAAACAGGCCTCCCTTTCCTCTTGCCAATCGTTTCCTTCAGCATTCCCAGCTCCAGACTGGGAAGGTAGATGTCTGTCTCTACCCGAAGGGTTAGGATCATTTCAGAAGAATATGACAACATAGCCAGAAAACTCTAACCTTTTCTTTTTATCTCCAGTGCTTCTTTGACTCTCCAGGAGAAATGAAAGGAACCTGGAGCCCTTCACAAGAGCGCGATTTCCCATGCAGGGCCAGCTTCCTGGGCACGCTGGCCGAGCAGTTGCATGGGGCCTGGCACTCAGAAGGGCCCTGCACTTGGTTTAATGTTGTGCTGTTGCCATCTTGAAATTCTTACCTTTGTTGGCCGGGCGTGGTGGCTCAAGCCTATAATCCCAGCACTTTGGGAGGCCGAGACGGGCGGATCACGAGGTCAGGAGATCGAGACCATCCTGGCTATCATGGTGAAACCCCATCTCTACTAAAAATTACAAAAAACTAGCCGGGTGAGGTGGCGGGCGCCTGTAGTCTCAGCTACTCGGGAAGCTGAGGCAGGAGAATGGCGTAAACCCGGGAGGCGGAGCTTGCAGTGAGCTGAGATCCGGCCACTGCACTCCAGCCTGGGCGACAGAGCGAGACTCCGTCTCAAAAAAAAAAAAAGAAATTCTTACCTTTGAAAGAAATTCTTATCTTTGAACTCGTGTTTTGTAAATGAAGTCTGTTGGGACAATGGAGAATGCACATGGGAAGAGAAGATACTCATAATATGCATGTCCATCATTCACTGCCTCCCATTTATATATAGGTTTGCAGTGCCTTATGAGTAGACAATTCTAGCAGACCCGCATTTCATGGAAGTTCAGCCTGATTCAGAGTGGGTGTGTCAGAGGCATTGGAACCAGAGCGACTCCATCTTGAATGGCAGCTGGGTAAAAAGAGGCTGAGACCTGCTGGGCTGCATTCCCAGAAGGTTAGGCATTCTTAGTCACAGAATGAGATAGGAGGTCAGCACAAGATACAGGTCACAAAGACCTCACTGATAAAACAGAATGTGATAAAGAAGCCAGTCAAAACCTATCAAAACCAAGATGGTGATGAGAGTAACCCCTAGTCAACCTCACTGCTCATTATATGCTCATTAGAATGTATTAGCATGCTAAAAGACACTCCTACTGGCACCATGACAGTTTACAAATCCACGGCAGTGTCTAGAAGTTACCCTCTATGGTCTGAAAGGAAGATGAACCTTTAGTTTTGGGAAATCTTCACCCCTTTCCCAGTAAACTAATGAATAGTCTGCCCCTTGTTTAGCATAAGATCAAGAAATAACCATGAAAGGCCAGGCGTGGTGTCTCATGCCTGTAATCCCAGCATTTTGGGAGGCCGAGGCAGGCAGATCACTTGAGGTCAGGAGTTTGAGACCAGCCTGGCCAGCATGGTTAAACTAAAAATAGAAAATT